ATAAAGGCGAGCTGACTGCTAGTAAAGCCGGCCGCGCTTGATCGAGTCATGGTATCAACGATTTTTATGCAAAATACCCAACGTGCTAACGCTACTCGCCCGAAATGTGCTGAAATACTGACCTATTTCATGGTGGGCAAGAAGAACTTGCATGAAAAGCACTTAGAGGCAGAGGACACGATTTCTGGGGTCGGGCGGTTGTCGCCAACACCACTGATAGAAAGGCTGAGCGTGGCTAAACGTCGATTCACAGTCCTTCCTTCAATGACACTGTCCACAATCGCCCGCCTCTAGCAATCGCGCTCACTGCTTTGAAAAGCCTATATAGACAAATGGACTTCACATGAAGCGAAACAAGTATCAGGTTGTCCGGAAAGTTTTGAGAAAATTTCACACTTTTAGTTTGGAAGAAGTGTAGCAAGCGAATGCCCCAACAGAACGTCATATATCAAGTGCTATGAGAAAGAGAAATGTTTGTAGATCAATACTAATGCTGGTTGTTATTATTCTCCATTGTTGGTATGATTTGACATTACCTGAAAAATGTACGAGCGCGCACGACTCCCAACGCCTTTTACTTCATCTTCACCGTTCTGGCTCCTCTATCGGTCAAATCGGGAATGAGGAACCGCCTCGATGCTGGATAAAATGCGCTTCAAAATTATCTATACTAGGAGATCAATCGGTCTCTTCCATGGAAGTTTAGCTTAGATGTTGCGTACGCCCCCTCATTCTCAGTACTCGCTTAGTTCCAGCTCAAAAGGTAAGGGACATAGGATGGACAACATTTATTATAGCTATGAACTACTATCTCTTATTGTTGTTGATAAGTGTTAAATGAGCTGGTTGAAATTTCTCAAAACTTCCCGGACACCCTAATACAAGCACGGTTTGTCCTGTATAAAGTCCTATACAGCTGGTCTTGCAAGAGCGATGCGGCACTTTCACTCAACCCACTACCTCCGTCCAGTTTAGTGAGTCATCGTAATATCAGTGAACAACAGCCTCAAATTACCTGGTCATTCAGGACTTACTAAAAGGGACTTACTAAAAGATACAACTCGCTGATACAACTGCCCTTTGAAGTATGCTTTACCATCGTATCGTATAAATCGAACACTATGAATGTTTGTGCGATTGTCAATGCATCAATTCCTACCTCTTTTTCTAGGCTAGGAGCCATTGGTGGCAACGAAATCACTATAGGCTTAGAACCACGTTGAGCTTCATCAAAGCCAAGTCCTGGAGGAGGGCCAAGATCAATTTTCGGTTGAGTTGTCGATGTCGATGCAGCAGTGGGCTTTTCAGCTTTACCATCAGCACCTAAAAAGCCCTTTCACTGATGATGACTTTCTGGTCGACTTTCGAAAAAGAGTACCTCCATCAATATCCATATCGAACATTTGATCCTCCTGATAATCGGGAGCATCATTGGCTGATTCTGGATGGTTAAGTTCTTCAGGTATTAATTCGCTCAGCTTGGTGTCGATCGTAAATCCGCAAGAAGGTTTTTGTCGTTGATACATATATCCCGCTGAATATTGGAATGTGGAATATAAAAGATAGAAAGGTTGGTCGATCTCAGCGTGTCCGCGGATTCTCTTTGGTTAAATCCTGACTTAGCAATAATACCACGAAGGTTTTACTTACTAACACTTGGAGACATAGCTACATCATCTTCATATGACCGACCATAATAGTCATCGTCGTCATCTAGTTCTGAAACAGAGTTTAGATTGAAAACAATCACATGACTGGGTCCCAAATATTCAAAAACACCAAAAAGGGTTTCCTACAATAGTAAAGGAACAACATAAAGTAGCTACTTACAGAGATTATTTAAGAAAACTGATGAAGTGGTTACCTTCGGAGTAGCTAATTTTTTGGACCCGCCGTCGAGAAGACATCGTTCTGTAACAGAGAATCTCATTTTCCGTCTGACACCTTTTTGAAAGAGCCGAAAGGGGATATCGTTCTCAGCAGGTCCTATCTCGCACGTTGGGAGAACTACGAGCTCGATAAATGAATGAGTCGCACAGAATCGATAGGAATCTACCCAGCAAGATACAGAAAAAAGCTCGTAAGATATCGCCTCTAGTGAGGCGTGCAGAGGAAATATCACTTGATCCCCGAGAAGATAGAGCTGTAAAGCAGAGTAAAGAAATGCAGAAATGCAGAAGTGACGAAAAGCATTCGATACGTAACGATTTCCCGCAATTCGTCAGTTTCTGCATTTCTTCAAATCAATACGTATTCAAGCTTTTTGCCAGTTCTGCATTTCTGCAATTCTTCACTGTCGCAAGCTATGAAGATTCCGCGGAATCTGCTGGAAAAATATATGCGATCGATTTGAGAAGTTTGCAGATTCAACAGAATCCGCGGCACTGAAAGAAACGGCCTCAACAGGAATGATTGCCTAGCCCCCTCCTAACATCTTCTAAAAATTGAAGAATCTGCAGAATCCACAGGATCTGCGGTGCGTTTTACTATGATTCCGCAAATTCTTCGAGATCGAAACCCTCTGAAAACACAACCACACTTATCTTTCGACACGAGCAGGCAGGAAAACGACAAAAACCAGCAGAACCAGAAGTCTGAATCAAAAGTAATGGCTTCAGCTGTTCCTCTGCATAGATTTTCGTACCCAAACTGCAGGGAACAAGTTTGTGCACTTTTGCGTCGGAGAAAGACGCAAACTTACACCATTTCATTTGGGCATTATCGGATGATGGCGCTTTTCTTCTACATAATCAGCTAAACGTACTTCAAAACAAATCACAAGACGGAGAAAACCGTAGAGCACAAGTGGAGCGTGTTGGGAAAATCTGCTTGGCCATGACATTTTCTTTTCAGTCACGACAGTGTGAAGGTTTTACGTAGCGTGAGGTGGAACCACATTCACCACCTAGAGGGAACTCCACATGGAAGTCGGGTGTATATAACATTCTCACTTCAAGTTTACGACTTTTCAAACCAAATTCACGACGTCTCGATCCAGAATCACGACTTTTCAAACCGAATTTACGATTTTTCAAATCAAGTTCATGATTTGGTTAGCCATGTCTCCCTAGACAGTGTTATAAGTTC